CGCCCTCGCCCGAGCAGGCCACTCCGTCGTCGCCGTGAGCCGCAACCCGAAACCTGTTCTGGTAGATGGGAAGGACGTGGAGACGTTTGCCGCAGACTTTACCGACCATGATGCCATCGCAAGAGTACTCCAAGGCGCAGACAGGGTCTTTCTCAACCTCCCGAGTACATCGTTCAACCAATCCGAGCCCATAATCGCGGCGGCCAAGTACATCGGGGAAGCCGCAAAGAAGGCCAACGTTCCGTTGATTCTGTTCAACACGAGTATGCCGGTACCGAAGTTATCTCAAGACATCGTAGCCCAGGAAGATCGGAGGGAGATGAGGAGGTTATTGAGGGAGTCTGTACCGACTATCAGCATTGAGCCCGTGGTTTATCTCGACAATCTCCTCGAAGGCTGGGCTCTACCCCCGATCCGCGACCGCAACACCGTTGTCTACTGCCACAAGCCTGACCTCCGCGTGTCGTGGATCTGTCACCACGATGTCGCGCAGATCATGATGGCCGCCATGGAGCATCCCGAGCTTTCTGGCCGCGACATCCCTATCGGCGGTGCTGAAACCGTTGTTCTTTCACAACTGACCGAGAAGCTATCAAGAGCCTGGGACAAGCGGCTGAGTTATGAGAATCAGACTGTTGCAGACTTTTGCGACAAGATTGGCAAGGCGATGCAGGGGCGTGGTCTGGATACGGATACAATTGTTAGTCAGATGTTCAAGGCGTATACGTACTACAACGAGGCGGAAGATGAGCCATTTAATGTCGATATGAAGCCTGTGGTGGACGAACTAGGAGTCAAGCTGACGCCAATTGAGAAGTGGGCTAAGAGGAGGAGTCCGTGGGATGACAAGGGCTACTACTAGACGTAGAATATGGCAAATTCTAACATTTGTTGGCGAAATCGCTATCGACACGGTATCAAATAACAGACTCCAAAGTCCACCCAATTCGCCCACTTCCCCTCTAACTACCCAGACCCAGAACAACCATCTCTCCCCTCACATACCCCCAGGCGGCGCAATCCCCATCATAGCACCCTCCGGACCATCCTGCGGCATCCCAAACTTGCCAATCCCCTTCCCCCTCCTTCTCTGCACCTCAAGCGCAACCTCATTCGCCTGCTTAAGCATATCTTCACTACTGCTCTTCCCGGGCACGAAAACCAAGCCCAGATCCGTTGCTGGAGTTCCCGTCCCCACAAAATTCCCCTCTGCGTCTTTGGCGTAATGTGCATTGTAGTAGGAGCGCTTCATTTGCCGGATTATTATCGATTGACGTACTTCGCCTTGTTTGCGTGAGAAGGGGTTGTAGTTGTGGAGGGAGAAGGCGAGGGTGCGCGTGATCATGGGGACGGGGATTGTTTCGTCGGGGTCGCCTTCCGAGAGGGTGGTTAGGGCGCGGGCGACGGTTGTGTAGGTTGGTGGGTAGGTTGGGGGTGTGTCGGGAGTGGAGGAGGGTGGGGCGTAGTAGTCGTTTGATTTAGGGGTTGCTTCTGTCATGGTGTTGGTTGTAGTGGAGTAATCGTGGTATTGTGTATTGCGTATTGTGTATTTACTTGGAGAGTTTGTGGCTTATGAATGCAGGTAAGACGTGTCTGACAGCTATGATAACACCCCCACCAAGCAATAGCGTCCTCGCTTGGTTATATACCCGACCATCAATAGTAGAACTACCTTATTCCCACGATCTTCCTCACTGCCTCCAACTAACCACCTCACATGGCTGAGCAAACGAATACGAGCTGTGCCACAGCCCCCCGCCAGGGCCAGCTGTGGCTAGCTTCCAGCTCCTGCCGAGCTTGACACCACACGATTAGGACTCCAACCCAGTCGCATAACCTGGATAAATGACCGAGACATGTACGCTGCATCACCAAACAGGCAAACCATCCTGCGACTCAGCCTATCGCAGTGCCCCGGTGGCGACTGCGCAAAGGCGGGGTGGCCGAGAAAGGGTTAGCGTTAGGACCCTTTTTGCAGATCGGATGATGTCATTTTGGACAACTCTCCGGAGTCATTGTGGCTTTGGTTGCTTGTATCGTGTAGTGTTATGCTTATCCTGCGTTCAAGAAGGCTGAGGCGACTTAGTTCAACGTGTAGTTTGTAGTTTGCCATTCGATCATTCCCGGAATATAAAGATAGAATTAAGATGTCGATCTAAAAATCCGGGGTTATCGCGGCGATGATCAGACAACAAGGACCGAACGAAGAGTCATTCAACAGTTTGGAATCTCGTGCGACCGGTGAGAGGAGGTCGCAGAGCTGCGCGTCTGTGATGTTCGTCCTTTACCACAATCGAGAATACAGGCACAGTTGACACGATGATACACAACCATTATGTAGATGATTTCTTTAGTTTCATCGTAATTCATTTCATATACTCATAGCATCGCTAGTATTCTGCGATGACATAGACACTTCAAGCTTATATACCAGCATGCTTCTTTATCTTCCACGTGCTCAGTGCACGTACTCCTCCTCATCAACATCCTTCCCACCCTTCTCGAGCATATGCTCAGGAAGAGGACTAGTAAACGGCTTGCGGCTCTCCCTCACAATAGCCGGAATGCTCGTACCCTCTGTGAACATCATCTCCAGCTCCTCCAGACTGCGACCCATGGTCTCCGGGTACCCGAAGTAAACAACCGGCAGAATGATAGCGGAAATGATAAGGAAGACGAGGTAGTATTGCCAGCCGATAGTTTCGATGGCAACGGGCGTGACCATGTTGACGACGAAGTTCCAAAGCCAGTGGTTGGCAGTGGAAATACCCGCCATAGGCACCCGCAGCCTCGTCGGCGCAACTTCCGTGCAGTACAAAAAGTTCGCTCCAAGGAACCCAATCGGGATGAAGAAGTTGAAGAGGAAGACAAAGAGCGCGCTGGCGATCTGAGCCGATTGGTTTGTCTTGGGGAAACTGGATGCGACGGCGAGGGCCAACATGCAGGATGCCATGCCCGCGCCGCTGAACATGAAGAGCTTGCGGCGTCCGAAGCGGTCGATGGTGAAGAAGGCGACGAAGCAGGAGAGGAACTTCCAGGTTAGCGCGCCGCCGGAGAGGATGCGCGAGGTTTCCGAGTCGAGGCCGAGACCTTGTTGGAAGATGATCTATTGATCTGTGTTAGAACTGGGTTTTATAGCCAGGGGAGACGTGGACTTACGGTTGAGTAGGTGGAGATGAGGTTGCTACCGCACATTTGCTGCAGGAACTGGAGGAAGATGCAGAGTGAGAAGCGGTAGAACAGCTTGTCCTTGCCCATAGTGAAGATGTCGCTCATCTTCGCTGCGCTGCGGCCAGTTTCCTCGAGCGCCAGTTCGATGCCGCTGATCTCAGCTGTGATTTCGGGGTCGTGCAGATCCAAGCCCTTGAAGCTGGACAGACTGAGACGAGCCTCCTCGACGCGTCCCTTGTTGACTAGCCAGCGAGGTGATTCAGGGATGCTGAATACAGCGGCCATGGGGACAAGGGAGATGACGGTGGGAATGGCGAGCGGGATACGCCATTGCAGAGGCAGGTTATCCTGTTCGAAGAATCCCAGGTTGATCCATGCTTCGAGGAGGTAGCCGAGGGAGATAAAGCAACCGTCGAGCACAACGTGCTTACCACGGTTGGCAGACGATGAGCATTCGGATTGCCAGACTGGGACGGTAGCGCTGAGAGCTCCGACTCCCCATCCTAGAATGAAGCGACCGACGACGAATTGCGCGAGCTGGAAGCTAGTGCATTGCAGGATCTCGCCGACGAGAGTCAGGAATGCGGCACCGAAGATGAGCTTTCGTCGTCCGAGGATGTCGCCAATCCATGAGCAAGACAGAGCACCGAAGAGAGCACCAATGGTGAAGGTGGCGACAACGGCACCTTGCTTGGTCGAGTTGCTGCTCTTCTCCGCGCCGGTAGCATCGATGGTGTTGATCTCCGGGAAGTGGTCGTTCCAGTCACGGAGAGATAACAGACCACCCACACCAGACTGGTTGTATCCAAACAGCACAAAAGCTGGCAGAACGACGAGCAACAGCTGTGCCGTCTGCAGAGTCTTTCCGGTGAGTCCCATGGTGAAGAATGACGAAGGCAGGAAGATTCAGAGGGGAGAGGAGGGGACTACAGAAGGAGACGGGATGGACAGCAGCTCAGTACTTGTACTCCAGAAGCGCACCCCACAATATCCTGCAATGTGGGCACACTACCATGGAGACAAACTCCAGTCAGTGCATTATTGAGCGGCCTTAGTGCTCCGCCTTTGGGGGGGTAAACACCCTGACCCGGAGATACAGGTATAGCCAGCCAGCGAGCTGCACCGGATGCCTCGATTTAGCACCGACCCCATACACCGCAACACTAGCAGGTAACCCTCCACAAACGGCCTCGATTTTCTTGACCGGTCTGCAGTCCGTGCTTGCGGGAATTGACTCGCAGCATGACCACAAAGCAGGGCGCGTCTGCGGCCGCGGCCATAGTTCGGCGTCGCTCGCCTCAAAGCGAGCGGCTGGGGAGGAAAAATCCTTACGCCCTTGTCGCAGCGCTATCATGACGGTTGAGGCTTCATGTGGGCCGAATTTGTACTGAGGCTCTGCGGCAGGATTTAAGCTTTTCCAAGAAGACGTTAGGTGCTTAAAAACCTTGATACGCGTGCGGCGCGATTGGTTCGCATTGCGGCCTCGGTACTTGTTCTATCCCCACCATCGCCGTGCGCGCTCCGTAACGTCGGAAGATGGCAGCAGGCAGCTCGGGCGAGAGACGCAATTTGCTCAACGCGCGTGAGTAGTGCGCCGGCCCAGATTTGATGATGAAACGACAGCTGGATAACCAGGGAATCTGCCTGATTGCTCCACACCCGTGGGGTCGGCTAGAAGACAGCAAGAAACCGCCGGTAAGTTTGAAAGTATGTACCTGCGCATGCGGCGAGATAAGACTTTGCGCGAGACGATAGTGTAGCTTGTTATTGCTTGGCCAGACCTCAGTCGATGTCTGACCTGCTGATGGCTTTGTATGAATGCTCAAACTCTAGTACTGCTTGGTGCTCTTGCTAACTCTCATAAGCTGTGAAAGCCCGTCAACGGATTCGGCTCTCTGTGTCTCCGTCTCGGTGTTCGCACTCGAGCTCATTCCTTCAGGGCCCGCCCCACTTCGTCCCTCCGACAGTTCCGAGTCAGCGTCTGGGGTTTGACCAGCCTCCGGCCTGCCATGTCGGTCTTTGACAGCGTCGGCTGTCTGTTCGGGTGTCGCTCGTCCGATCTCCGCTAGATTGGTCGGTATGATGCCATACTCGAAGCGATCGATGACAGCTCGCTCCACTGCGATTCGCGGTTCCTCCACACTAGCTTTGTAATCCTTCAACAGCGCAACAGCCCTCTCGTCGCCCTTCAAGACACACCTGTGGATCAACGTCTCCCACGTCTTCCTTCTAGGCTTCAAGGGGCCCTTTTTGCCAGTTGTCGCGCCCGTTGACCGCATCTCCTCATAGTAGAGCAGAGCATCTTCCAGGTCACCCGATTCTAGGCACACCAGGATCAGACGATCATACGTAATGCGGTCAGGTTTGAGACCCAGCTTGACCATCTCGTTCGCAAAGAACATGGCAAGCTCCTTGCGGGCGGACCTATGGCAGCCTTGAAACAGGATGTTGAACGTTTCTGTGTTCGGGCCAGCATGCGATACTGTGTGTAGGGCTTTGTAAATCTCGATGCCCTCTTCCAGGCGCTTGCTTGCGATGCTGGCTTTGATGCATGCGTTGACGGCAGCGGTGGGAACTTTGCGGCCAGAAGTCTCAAAGTCTTGCAGATATCTGAAGGCTTGCATGGGTCTGCTGTCATCGTTGTCGTTTTTAGCGGACAGATACCAGTAGAGAGGATCACAGGTCCCAGAGTTGACCTTCAAGTTGGAATCAACCATGATGAGGATGACAGATAGAGCTGCTTGGAGGTCGTTGGCGTTGAGGTATGTGGATATGAGCAGTTCATAGTGTTGCGAGGTGAACGTTGTACCTCGTTCGGTCAGGACGCGAAAGACATCGGTAGCGAGCTGGATGTCTCCGTGTCGTGAGGCGAGAGTGAGTACGTGCAGGCAGGCGCCGGTGCCGGGCTTCAGGTAGCCCGGCTGGACTTGCGCAATCCATACAAGGCTCGTCTCAGCGAACTTCACGGTGTTAGCAACTTCCCTTAGGATGCATGACACAGGTTTCACTTACAAGCTGTTTGTGCGCCGCGGCATCTAGCAACGCTCCCCAGAGAGCGATACTGAGCTGGACTGTACCTGTTCCGCTACTCTTGCTGTGCACGCCCTCCTTGAGACTGAGCACGTAGAATGCTTCCTCGACTTCGCCAAACTCCAGCAGCATCCATATGGCCTTGTCAAACAGCCAACTCTCCACGCGTGCTTTGTGCCTGACCATCTCCTCCAGCAACTCGAGTGCGTGTTCGAAATGTCGCTCGCGCAGCATCCCGGCTATGATGAAGTTGCGCGCACGGTCGGATGGCATGAACCATCGCGACTTCATGTATTCGAGGATGTCGGTGCGGAGCAGGTAGTCCGGGTGCACTGCGAGCACCTCAAGCACGCATTCACAGCCCCGCGCATCCAGCAGGATTCTTGGCTTTCCGGTCAGAGATCCATCGGTCTCGTCCCAGAAGCCCATCTCTTCCAGCACCTTGCGGACCTTCCCCGCCGTGCCATTGACGGAGTCGACGAAGCTGTGTAGTACGGCTGTGTACATCTCCCTGTTCGGCAGCTCCCCTCTGTCTTTGATCAATACCCTGCAGATGTTCATGACTTCGTCGAAGTTGCCCTTGGCGCCCTCGGCCCGCACATGTTCGTATAGGATGTAGGTCGGGAGCTGGGCGAGCGGAGGTCTATCGCGAGAAGTGTGGGATGGGAGAGCGCGAGGCTTCTCTACAAAAGACCGGAAGCCGTTCAGGGAAGCCCCGGGTTGCGAGAAGAAAGTGTCGTTCGCTGCCGAGGGTGCGCTGGAGCGGTTGTAGGTACGCAGTTGGCGGCCGCAGTTGGGCGTGGCATCGTTTCGCGGTGCATTGCGCGGCAGCAGCCTAGCTCCTCCTCTTACAATGGGCGGTGTCGTTCCAGCATTCGACGGAAACCCCGGACAAAGGCATCGCCACAGGCCGTCGTTCACGAAAGGGCGGGGTGGCATTGGCGTGGGTGATGTGCACTGCCAAAGTTTCAATGCGCGCAGCGTAAGATGTTGCGTCCGTGCGCGCGCCTCGGTTCGTCATACACCACAACTGCCTGGCATATCACTGTACATGGTAGACCGGTAAGAGTTTAGTTGTATTATATTCACAAGTGCACTTTCCAGATGCTTTTCCTATCCCGTACCAAGCCGCAAAAAGGGTATATGCGCCCAAATACCAACACGTCTCATGCAAAGCCCATGCCCCTTCCGTACCGTATTATATCGAAACAGCGTCAGGCGTTGCGTTTCTTCCCATCCCTAAATACCTATAGTCCGTCGTAATTCGCACAAACACGTGCTCACCTCCTCACCACTTGCTCTGAAAGAAGTTCCAGTACCTGTAGATGTCAGTCTATGCTTGTATCGAGAGGAAAGTACTGCATACCTTTGGTGATATCACTTCCTGGTTTACCAAGTGCTTGCTCATGATCTTGACAACCTCCATTTGCTCCTCGTAAGTGAGTCCAGTAATGGCTGCTTCAATCACTCCACCGACTGTGGTGTGGTGCACGGCGATGAAGCTCGAGTAGTAGAAGAAGGCGATCGAGCCCATTATGAATTGGCAGTCCATGCGGTCAGTCATTCCACCGTGACCGGGGATGGAGTCGCCAAAGTCCTTGATCTTGAAGGTGCGCTTCAGGCCAGAAGCGAAGAAGCCACCGAAAGGCGCGATGAGAGAAGCAAAGGTTCCGAGCATGATGACGTGGAATTGCACTGGCATGATGTTGAATGTTCGCGGGATGGGGAGACCCTCGGGAAGGAAGGGAACGGTATAGTCGCGCGCGATGAAGACCGGGTTTGGCCTGCATTCGAGGCCGGACCAGATGTTTGCGCCCAGATCGTTGACGGGGCAGATGAAGTACTTGTAGTCCCCGAGGAAGTGGACAACGAGCATACCCCAGATAACAGTGAAGAACCAGGCGCCGAGGAAGCCCTCCCATGTCTTCTTGGGCGAGATCTGAATGAGGGGTGTCCGTCCAAACGTAATACCGCAAAGGTAAGCGAAGATGTCGTTGGTAATGACCATGGACACGGGGAGAATGAACCAGATGAATCCCTCGAAGATGTTGTTGATGACAAAGTGCGCCTGTCCAACGATGAGGAAGAGGGCCATGTGCGTCCAAGCAAACTGGGTGAACTGGAACTTGTAGTGGCCCTTCTGGAGCGAGAAGACGAAGAAGACGAAGCCTTGAGAAATTAGCACAGCTATGAACCATGGGATTGGTGGACATACCAATAATGTACAGCATGAAGGAGATGAACCGGTGGTGGGTAGCCAGGGGCAGCAGCAGACGGTCCACCATCAGGACGTGCTTGAAGTAGTAGATGACACTCTCGCCGTAGAGAAAGTACATGGCGGTGCCGAGGAAGTACCAGTTCAGCGACTTGGTGAAGCGCAGGCTGCGGGCCTTGCTGGGCACGTTTGCGATTGCGATGACCTCCTTAAAGGATATGACCTGGACTGCCGTGACAATGATGATTATGAAGAGATGACCCGCGCCGAGGGCCCAGAAGAAGCCGGCAATCATGACGAGGGTCCATGTTGTGCGCGTTATGAAGTTGGCCTTCTTCTTCTCGTACTCGGTCTGGGGGGGCTGTTCGGAGGCCTGGCGCTGTCAGCTGGGGAGACGTGGGCAGTGGACTGCCAACATACTGGAGGTGCCGTCTCTTCTTTGATAGTCGGGCTGCCCGGGTCGCTGTACTCGGACATGCTCTGCGAGGGTCTCCGCGCCCTGCCGTTGCTGGCGCTGCGGACCTGGTGGTTGAACTTGACGTCCTTTCTCGGGCGCGCCATGGTGAAGGAGGAGAGGGCGGTTGCGCCTGGTATCCTGTGGCGGTATAGGGGCAGCCGGGGCGAGGCCGGAGGGGAAGGCGCGATGGGTGAGGGCGGGGTGGGTGAAGGAGGTGGTGTTGGCGGCAGGCTCGACTGGGCCAAGTAGTGAAATTGGCGGACAAGTAACCACGGGCAGCTTGCGTCATGGCACCGCCGCTTAGCTTAGCGACCCTGCAGCCTGCATGTGAATTTCCCTAGCACCCAAACACGCCAACCGCCAACACGCCAACAACGCGTCCATGCGCCCCGCATCGCGACCGCTTTGGGACATGCTCACGCGCAGACCCGCTGGCAGATGGACCGACAATGGCTGACGACGACTTCGACGACTTCTCTGACGATGACCTCGACGACCTGCCCGCCGACGCCCTGCAGCATCTCGAGGCGAGCGCCATCCGCGCGACACAGCACCAGCCCGACACGGAGCCAGAGTCCGACTACGGCCCCGACGATGGCGACGAGGTAGTCAATCTGGACGATGCGCATAGTCCGCCGCCTCTATATGCGCTGGACGAGGAGGGCTATGACAGTCACATCGATGACAACATCAACGACATTATCGAACATTGCCACTATGACCAGATGGAAGTGGAAGAGCAGCCGCGCAGGTCTCAGGCTGACCCCAATGCGCTGCTCCAACGCATCAAGAAGGTGCGCCACGTCCACCTCAGTCTGTAGACGCCCCGCTGATCATCGCAGTTAGAGCAAGACAAGGCGCGCGAGAAGCGAGAAGCCGAGGAGCTGAAGGGGAAGCTGCAGACCAAGGCGGGCGAGGCCGATACCCTTCGAAGGCGCTACGATGCCGAAAACCGCAAACACGAGCGCCAGCTGGCGGACCAGCAGCAGTCGCACAGCACCGAACTGGCCAAGCTGCGTGCCGAGATGGAGAAGCTGCGACGGGAGAAGGAGTCGGTGCAGACGGACAACATGTTCAACCAGCACGAGGCGCGAGAGTCTGTCATGGCGCGACGGCCTGGCAGAACCATGCCCTCACGACCAAAGTCAGGTGCGCAGGCAATCAGCCCGGCGAGCACACCTAAGAGGGGGCAGAAGACGAGAGGCCCACTGGGCGATGGCTTTGACGACGACGACGTTGTCATGGCATCACCGTCAAAGTACCGCGAGAGGCAGAAGACGGCGACGCCAAAGCAAGCCGGCAAGCGGAAGCGGCAGGCTATCGACCAGAGCCCCATACCACTGCCTGCGCTGCAGCTGAGTGAACCGCGAACTCGGCAAAGAGAAACAGAGCCAGCACCAGCCGTGGGTCCTGTCATAGACGCCGCACTGCTCGAGCACTTTCGACGCGACGACCGTCGATTCACTCTGCTACACCGCCTGCTATCCCATCCATCATCAAATGGCACTGATCGCGTCCTCGAAGCACTTACGTCGCATGCATTTCCGTCCAAGCCATCCAAGAAGCTTTCTTCGATAGTGTATGATGCCCTGGCGAAGATCAACACATCCAATGTACACGAGCTAGCAGTACAGATATGTCACATCTTCCTCGACCTGTGGAAGCGGTGTCAGTCCGAGAAGTACTACGCTCCGACATCTCTGATACTCGATGCACTGCACTTCATCCTCGCATGTGAGCCCATCGAGACTGCCGTCAAGATTACCGAGCGCGTAGTACCGCTCATAATCGCCTTTGTTGATCTCGTGGCGGATCCTATTTCGAAAGCAGCCAAAGGAGGTGAGAAGGCCGTTGCCGATCTCTACTCCGCGAAGCAGCAAGAGATTGCATCTCACATCGATGTTGAAGACTGTCTTGAGTTGCTGTATCTGATCGCCAGCAGCTGCGTGTCGTCAATAGATTCCACAGCAATAGCTCGTCTATGGCAAGCAATCCCTTCAAGCTTCGCCATCATGCTCCTCGTCAAAGAGCAACCACATGCTCAAATCACGCTCATGTTGCGCATACTTGGCACCTCTGCACTATCTACCTCAATAGGACCCATAACATTCGCAGATTCCGCCCAAGACAACCAAGCAAGCAACGAAGACGCTCTGGTCCATCGCCTCACCAACCTCTTCACCGAGGTGCCTAAGCCCGTTCCAGATCCTTTGGCCTCGTTCGGTGAAGCTTTAGCTATCTCCGAAGCCGACCTCTGGGACCTTCGCCTGCTCGTCATCTCGGTCCTGACGCAGTTCTCTATCCCAGAATACGGCTCTAGTCGTTTAGCCCAGAACGGCCTCTGCATTGGCCGACTGATCAAGTACCTCGACCACTGCGTCACAAGTCTATATCGACATCCCATCGCACCAACTCAAGAGCGAAAGGTCGATTCCATCAATGCGACTATGAAGCTGATCTATCACGTCACTACGACAAATGCCGATTTCGACATCAAGAGCAAGTTGGTGAATACGCTTGGTGGACACCATGCCTATCTCGTTGCGCTGACGCGGTTGGCTTTCAGCGAGGGCCTAGTGCTAGAAGCAGGGATCGAAGATGAAGTCGTCAACATGGCGCACGACATTCTAGACGAGGGGTTGAGTATGGAAGAGGGAGATGCATTCGGCAAGGTGTTCAGCAGTGGAAGCACTGTCTAGACATGTTCAGTGTTTTCTTAAGAAGGAGATCATCAGCGCAAGCGGCTTGGGCGATGGCTCTGATTTCAACTTGCACATTTTCCCGCAAGATAACCCCTACTTCTGAGCTCAGGGACGATACCACTTTAATTCCGCGCTCATCCACGATCATGTAGAATGAGATACGGATATCAGCATCTTGTATAATCACTAGTCCGGCTCGCATTGCTATGCATTGCTATGGCTTGAGATATTGTTGCATTGGGCGGCGTTTATAGCATATCAATCACACACTCTTCTGCAGTCACCAACTCTCCATCTCTAACCCGTCCCCCGATCCACGCCATCACCTTCTCCAAAACCTCCTCCCCACACTCATCATTCAACAACTCATGCCTCCCCCCTTCGACAACCTCAAACACCTTCTCCCCTGTCCCTGTCCCTATCCCAGCCACAAACCTCTCACTCCCTTTCCAATCACAATACGCGTCCTCGTCTCCATGCACCACCAACGTCGCCACTGTCCACGCCCCCATCTTCGCTCTAACACTATCTGCAACATCCACGGCCGTCGCAGCCGTTAAGAAACATATCGGTTTCTTGGAATACAGAGGATCGACGAGGTATTTCTCTATCTCGACCGGAAGGCGTGTGAGGCTGGAGATGGGCACCGCGCGGCCGGGGATGGAGGTTGTGGGTATTGTGCGTGCTATGACGCCGATGGCTAGTCGGGCGGCGGAGGGGAAGGGGCCGGGGAATGCGGGGCTGGTTAGGATTACACCGTCAATTCCCTTTGGATCTTTGGCCACACTCCCCGCGGTTATTAGACCACCGAGGGAGTGTCCGAATAACACGACCGGTCTCCCGTTCTCTTGTTCAACAGCATAACGCCGGAGTGCGAGATGGTCGGCTACTGCTTTTCCTACGTGGACGACGGCGCGGGGGTGGCCGGGGGAGGTGCCGTGGCCGTGCAGGTCGAGGGCGTAGATTGTGTAGTGCGCGGCGAGGAGGTGCGTTATTAGGGAGGAATGCGAGGTTAGGTAGCGGACGGAGTATTCTGCGTAGCCGTGTTGGAGGATGATTGTTGCGATGGGGGTGGAGGTGGGCGTCCAGATGTGGAAGGTTGTGCCGGAGGGGAGGGTGTGGGTTTTGTGGTTTAAGCCGAGGTTGGGGTCCGGGGAGGGGATTGAATTTGTGGGTATGGATGATTGTGAGGGTTGTTTGCGGTAGAGGGATGGGACGTTCAGCATCTTGAGATTCGCGAGATTGGCGATTTCAGCACATCATACCCTTTTAGAAAAATCCCTCCTCCTAGAACATCGGTTTCGGGCGATTGAGAGAGCTTAGTGTTGGTGTTTAATGAGACACCGAGGCGAACGAGTGTAAGTGTGGTCTGTAAGAGGAGCTGCCATCACCGTCCAGATTTAGAAGTCACGATCATTGTGGAACGAACGATATACATTGCAGAGAACTGTATTTTTTCAGTTGCTGAAGAGATGTCATTTTGAGGCAAAGTAGGTTCTCGTACCTCCAGGACTGCCTACCTCACATATGGCCCACGTGGGGTGGGGCAACATAACAGCTTTGGGCATAGTTTACCAAAATGCGGGGCGCGCCTGGCACCTGCTGCATCTCTACTTCATCCTCGGATGTTCACTACACCACTGCTCAATACAATCAAACTATTCAAATCGTATGCTCGACGACGCTACCGCGAAACAAGAATGCATTTCAGTTCCGTATTTCGGCCTGTCATGCACCGCATCGCATCGCCGACAGTGACAAGGCGAGTGCGGCAAGGCAAGCTGTGATAGGCGTATGCGCGACCTCCGCGCATGACTGCGCAAGACCCAATGGATAGACGTATATAAGAGGCTGCCTTCAGCCCTCAGCCTTTCGCACTTTTCGTTGCCTTCTCACCTCAATCTGACAACCTCTTCCCTCATGAACTATCCACGATTAGACCCAAGTCGTACGCCAAACGCTCCGTCGGTACTTTCCAGAAACAATGCGCATTACAGCGTTTCTTACAGCCAATTCTTGGTTGAAGCGCCGCAAAATATCGTCCGATCAGCCTCATGCTATCGAAATGTCCGATTCAGTGGACACTTCCGATTTGATCCACCCTGATGTCCAGCGTTACACCCACAAAGCGCTACAAACGCCTGATTCATTTCGCGTTCTGGAGCTTCTACCAGGACCATCCGGCTCAGCCTTGTCCTGTCGGATACTTGAGATAGACCGCACAAATTCCGACATCGAGTTCGAAGCTATCTCGTACGTTTGGGGCAGCCCTAACCCCGTATACTATCTACACGATGTGGAAAGCAATGGTCTGTTGCGCATCACAGAGAGCTTGTATCTTGCGCTGAAGGCGATGCGCTACCCGGACCGGAGCCGGATCCTCTGGGCAGATGCAGTCTGCATTAACCAGTCAGACAACTTGGAGAAGAGCCACCAAGTCAAGAATATGGGCTCCGTCTACGCGACTGCGAGAAGAGTCATGGTGTGGCTGAGTAACGAACATTTCATCGCCGATTTCAAGTATTGGAAAGGGCTTGAGAAAGCATCAGATAACGACATGTCAACTGCCGACCTCAAGCTTACCAGTCGTCTCGACATGGTTACTTTAGCTGTTCTCAGGATAATTGAGACACCGTGGTTCACTAGACTATGGACCATACAGGAGTTCGTTCTCGCTAAAGATGTGCGTTTCTGCTCTGGCAACCAGCATATCAGTGACGATGCATTGCACAATGCCATCGACCATGTCTCTCTCGAAGTCGAGCGGTCGGACACCACATCGTCACCTTCGCTTAAACTTCATAACAACGTCACCAGGGTGTATAATCTCTTCAATTTCCGTCGTTCGTGGCAAGGCTTTCCATACCCTAGCTCACAAGGGATGTCTCTATATGAATGTTGCCAATGGGCACATACTATCCCTCCTAAGTGTACTGATGAGCGCGATATGATATATGCTCTCCTTGGATTGGTCCAAGAACCGCCTAAGATCGTTCCCGACTACAGTCTCAGTGTTACAGGCGTCTTTCTCGAGTTCACCTGGTCGGAAATTGCAGCTGGAAACATTGACATATTACGCGACGCAGACTTCCGAGGACGAGACGACTTATATCCATCATTTCTCTATCAACCAGATTATAGCTCTGGTATGATATGAAGTAAAACGGAAGCAAGCAGAGCGGGCATGAGTCGAGTTGCCTGTGCGGAATTGATTCAACCTGCCTCTATCCAGATTCGAGGTGTAATCGTAGATCGTATCAGCGGCTGTTGGAAGCCACGATTTATGCTATCATCGGAGAGAGAAGCTCAGATACGACTCAAGACAGACACATATCAGACTTTGGAAGCTTTTCTCCAGTCCGCTGAAGTCATATCGTCGTCTGATGTATGGCTCACAGATTTAACGGGCCATTCCTACAGATTTGGGGCTAACAACTCAATCGACACTGCGATCACAAATTTACTGGAGGTATTCCGTCATATTCAAACCTGTGCGAAGCGAATTACGGATCAGGACCCGACGAGAAACGATATGACACCAGAGAGAATCCAAAACCGATTTTGGCGAATGCTTACTTTGCACAAGTATCCCTCTCCACCAGCTATGCCAAAGGACTTCCGCCATCTGCCCTCAGATCACGCTTTGGATTCTACCTACCCCTACATATTCACTACCGTCGATGGGTACATGGGCAGAGCACCCAAGCATGCCATGGTTGACGACCTAGTGGTCATTTTTGACGGGGGCCACGTGCCATTTGTGCTAAGAAAGGCGCACGATAGTATTGGTGTACGTTGGAAGTTACTTGGGGAATGTCATGTGGAAGGCTGGATGTACGGCAGCTACTACGGTCATGAAGTGGTGGATGATGTCGGCCAATACCTTGCGGCAGCGGACGCAAAAACCGACACTGATTTCTCGTATAGGAAGAAAACATTGCTAAGCGGGTATTTTGTACTCTGCTGAGGCCAACTAAAATTGTGACCCAAGAAATAGTTCGAAATGAGATTTATCCACATATTCAACAGCACTTGGCTGTCAGTCACGAACGCATATATTGTCAAGTATGAGCAAGGTTGACAGTGATGTCACTCTCGAAGCGAGCCAATACATTCCCTTCGCACAGCGTCTATTGCAGCTTCCCTTCAATCTGTCCAATTAAATACCCTATCACATTGCGGCTTTTGCTTCCGCGGAACACCTTGTACGTCGGTAAGGATCACGGTCCGCGGCGAAGCCCTGCATTCCCCCACCATCCGTTCCGCATAGCCTCTTCCTTCACCCTCACATCAAACAACCCATTGACTGTACTCGTTGAACATGCAGTGCACGGCGTCGTGCATGTGCGTGTGGCTGGGTTGTTTGTCATCACGTTTGCTTTGTATGGCCTTTACCCCACACGGTTATAAGATAAAATGCCCACTCTCACTCACGTTTCGCAGTATCGACAGCAATCACGTCCCCGACATCGATACCAAATGATTCCGTCCAAACACGGCAACATAGTCGCTACCAGCTCGCCTACCGGCTCTGCGGTAGATGAGCGCTACGAAGCGTTCGATGGAGCACAAGATCGCGAGCGCTTATCGTGGAAGAAGCAGGCGATTGTCGATCTAAAGCCGTCACTACATCGCGATACGTATGAATACACTGCGCACATGTTATGAAAGACGAACTGACTGTGTACAGATACATAGGAGCGCTCTTGTTCAACATCTGCGCGTTTATCCTACCAGCTCTCTATAGCACCTTGTCGAAGCTATGGGTTGCGAACATCGATTCATCCATGGTAGTCACTACAGACACATATACGTACATCGGCGTGGTCGCAGAAGTCTTGAACGAAGGTCTACCGCGTGCTTCCTACCTCGTCATCGGCGACAAGTCCAGTCGTGGTTTCCGTGAGCGCTTGCAGCTCACTCACACTCTGATCCTCTTCCAATCGCTCCTCGGGCTTATCATGAGTATCGGATTCGTCGCAGGCGCTTCTACCTTTGCGCAAGGCTTTGTTCCAGTCGAGGTGAGAGATGTGAGCGTCACGTATATCCGCATCTCCGCGTTCTCTGCATTTAGTTCGGCAATAGAGTATGCGATTTCAACGTCAACTCGCGCGCTGGATAAGCCGGATGTCCCACTTATTATCAGTTCCGTCAAGTTCGCTGTCAACATCATTCTCGACTTGATCATCATCTCGAAGTTCCATGTCGGGAGCATCACGCCCACAGTGAACATGCAGGCTGGTATCTCACTGGCTTGCAATCTCACTTCCGCTTTTGCTGGACTGGCGTACTTTGTTTACACAACGAGTGTCAGCTCCAAGTCGCCGGTCCATAGCGACACATCCAGCCGCGGTACCGCCCCGTCCTTGCCCGCCCTTGTCACACTCGCCAGGCCGGGTGCGATCTTCTTTTCAGAATCAGCCATCCGAAACGCCCTATACCTGTGGTTAGTCCACGGTATCGTCGGGCTGGGTAGCGACTACGCAACTGCTTGGGGTGTCTTCTCAACCATCCGATGGGGCCTGATAATGGTACCCGTAATGGCACTGGAGGCGACCACACTGACCTTCGTGGGGCATTCATGGGGAGCATTGCGCGCGACCATCGTGGGTATCTCACGGGCTGTGAAGCTGCAAATTACACGTCGACAATTGGGGAGCGTTGTACGCTGGGCAGTTTACTCCGTCATGATTGTCTTAGTAGTGGAGATTCCACTCTGTCTCATCATGTCATTCGCCGGTGCTGAGCCTTTCGCACGATACCTCTCAGGCTCAGAGGAGGTCTCACGTATAACCGCACGTATGTGGCGCACCATCGATTGGTGTTACATCATGTACGGTGTGTCGACACAACTAGCTGCGATTCTGGTATCGACGCGCCCAACTTGGTATCTCTACCAGTCTCTCGCATCGAACATTCTTTACGTCTTACCATGGGCGATTGCGTGTCAAGTGGTTGACCTCAATGCTGGAGATGCTTGGACATACCACAGCTTGGTATTTGGTGGAAGCCTGGTTTTCTCATTCTTCACGATCATTGCGGTTGACGGAGTTTGGGGGTTCAGGCTCATGAAGGGAAAGATGGATGTAAACAGGGCGTAGTTACGGAGAGAACATGGGACATTGTAGTCGGATACAGGATAGAAATAGCTCATAAAAAAATGCGACTCTACATGTTTCCACATGCACCAATGTATCTCTCTTATCAAAGTAAGAACGCCATCAGCCCTTCCACACTGCGGGCGTCGGTTCTTTGTACAAGCTCAGATCGTTCGGCGTAGGAAACCAGATACTTGGATCATCTTCAGCGTATGCATTCGGGAACCTGACCATCGGCCCTGGACTTCCATTGCCGCCTTCCACGATCTCTACATGCGCACAGTTTACGAACCATTGACTCTGACCAAGAGTCATAGATGGCATGAAGTGCTCGATGCGCAATAGGTATTGGCCTGAGGGCGTCGCAGTGGGAATCGTAAAGTTAACGGACAGCGTGTCCATAGTCGACCACGTCGTCTTGTCCGCCGGCCCTGCGTATGCGATCTTGAAGAAATCTCCCTTCCCGTCGTATTCCATCAAACTCTTTGTTCCATCCGGCAGTTTAGAAAGAAACACTTGCCCAGGCCCTTCGTGGAAGATGTATCCTTGGACATCACCTTCGTAGTAGGGCCCAGACACCATGAGTCCAACATCGCTCCCAGCAACAATGGTCGCTGTCTGTATAGTATCGGCATTGTGGACGGGGAAGGAGCCGCGGCCGCATGTGACGTTTGCGTTTTCGGGCCCGTAGATGGGAAAGGTCTTGAGCCAGAGGTCATCGTAGGTACCCGCGTTGCCGGAGACGTCGCGGACGTATTGGAACTCTCGAGAGATGGTGTTGTTCACTATGAGGCGGTTGAATACATCTTACAAGTTCATTAGCAACTAGTCCGGAGGACAGAGATGAAAGTACAAACAATGGGCGCTAGCCTGCTGCGCAAGGGCCGTTGCTAACCATGGAAGGAGGACGGACTTCATGACTGCTGCTGCTTTCCGATTAATAACTTTGCTGAAACTTAGCCATCTCAGCCTGTCTTATACGACCTCTCGATCCGAGCCCGACCATCACCGATCCTCCTTCGACTAAGGCTCTGCTGGAAGCACAGTGCTCAAGACCAGAGTCCTCCTGACCATGCTAATACATGCGCAAATCCTTCTTGCTGATGGTGCAGCTGCCTGGTGCCAATGGTATCGGTTCGGTTGCTGCCGATAGTACGCGGTCCCGATGTGGTAGTTTTTAGATGAACTCCAGATTGCCGGATGGGCTATGTCGACCCAAGCCCAAGCGGGGTAGGCGGCATCTCTAGAGTACTCATATAGTGGATATGGGTAGTACAATTCGTACTGGACATCTTTCAGTCCGGGTAACAAGGTGCAGCGTGCCGGGTAGAATGAGATCGGACGTGCTGTTCTGGGTACCTGGGTTTAGGTGAAAGCGTTGGCGGCAGCCATGCCGTTGCGCGCAAAGCTTATTTGTACTGCGAGTGAGTTCCTTCGTAGCGGTACGATGACTTGATACTTTGCTTTGTAAATTTTGTCGAGGTTGTAGTCAGACGCTGCAGGCGGGGAAAGCAGTCTAGAAGGGACGCGTCGCGTACGCGTGAAGATGATGCTCAAGAACGTGTCGCATCCTTCCCCTCGCGTCAAGCATATGCATTAGTAGCCTTCGAAACACTGAACCTAACAACAGATTGGCGCTTGCATGTCAAAGGAATCGTCGTCACAACTCGAGAGCGATGAGCACCTGCAAGCGCAGGAACGATGACAACATCAAGATCAAACCTGGACCCCTGACTAAGCTTCGGAATGAGCCCCACACAGCATGACACGCGTTCCGCAGCGGCGACGATGAACGACAAACTCATCATATTCGCCATCACAAAAAGCATTGGCGCGCGTTCTTCTACGCGTATCTGCACTTACACAACGATCCAGATGTATCACCCTAACGACAATGGCGCAGCAATCCCCGCTCCTGCTGCTACCGGGTGAATTGAAGAACCAAATAATAGATTACATCCTCACCCGCGACCCCGGCACCGCACCACCACCACTACAGCTTTCTCCATTATCACTATCATCAACATGCCATCAACTGTATGAGGAATACCACACCCTCGCTTGGACCGCAACGATCTTCACCCTTCCATGGTCATCAGCAGACGACCTAATCCGAAGAACCAGTCTACTCCCCCCAACATCCATGTCCAGCATCACAAAACTGCAAATCAAACTCCCATCCGATCTCACCTCACTCTACACCCCAGACGTGAACCGCCGCCGCGTAAAACCCTTCAACTTCGCCCGCGCCGGCCTCACCGCCCTAGAAGAACTCTACATCCGGTACCGCCCGGAGCACACAGAAAAAGGCATCGGCGGACCCGGTCGCGAACTCATTGTGCAGATCCTCTGGCGCATCATGTGGGAAAGAGATATCAAGCGACTCAGGAAAATCTGCATTGTGCATGATGGCGCGCAGCCGTTCCTTTCGCTTTCCCTGCTGTATAACATGTTGCAGAACTTTACGCCGCTCCAAGTGTCGAAAAGGTGGAAGGTGCGATCGGATCTTGAGCATGGAAGGCTGAGGTTTGAGGAGTGGGGTGGTGGGGAGAAGGGGAGGGGGGTTGATGTTGTGGTTGGGTTTAGCTTTTGGGAAGCGGAGGCTTATGTGGAGGTTTGTGAGATGGTTCTTGAGGTATGTTTGATTAGTTACTTGCATCTGAGGGGATGGGGCGCTGTCGGGAGTAGCTTGCGGTTCTAGCCATTGTTCAGGGCAAGCAGATGCTGACTTCAGGCCAGGAGAATCATGCTCAGGTCATTCTGGCTCGGCGCGCAGAATGTTTGTACGTCACCCCGCTGCGAGATATGAGTGACGACGCTTTGAGGCGAGAGGTCGATAATCTCAACACCTTGTATCCTGTGCTAGGAGACGAAGAACACGTGCTTCAGCCACACGTGGAGCGTATACGTGCCACGTGTGCGGTAAGTAAGCGAGGATGAGAAGAGACGACGCAAAGGTCCTTTGACTCGCGCACGAAGGCCGTCGTGGCTAATGACTATACTGATTGGGGATATGATGTTCACAGAAGACGTCCCAGTCACCTGACTACGTTCCCGTAGCTCGATCAGAAGGAGCACTACTCCGCCATCTTCCGAGGAGAAAAGGCTTTACGCGCACGCCGACGGCTGGGTTGAACACTAGGGACCGCTATGCATTGCCGATTGCACCCAGACCCTCACACACCTTTCTTCGTTCCGAGATCGGCTGGCACATCCACGCGTCGCTTTCAGGCCATGGCGGAATTCGGTCTCGCCACCACTTCCAGAGCCGGGTGGTGATAACAACGTGGTCTCTTAACCGTCCCTCGGAACCTTCTCGACCGGCTGAATACCGTATTCGCTTTTCGACGCGAAGGAATGTGGAGTAGGTCCCAGAACCAAGCCGACGGCGTCAGCATGCCAGGTGGGATACGCGTCCATGGTGGACCGGGTGGCATCCTTTCACACCAACGTCGATTTTCAATAGTGGAAGTATGCCGGTCACCTTGTTCGAGCTAGTGCTGAGTGGAAAGACTGTACTCGGGGAGCGCTTGCGGCGGGAAGGAAGGGTCGGGACGACACGGGAAGGATTGAGATCTTCAAGACGGGTTGGTGTTGAGAAGACAAGTGGCACCTTGCGATGTGTGTCCTAGCAGGGAAAGACGGCCGGGAAGGAGCTGACCAACCTTCTTTTGCAATCCATCCTCACTACTCGGGTGAAGCTTTACCCTTGCCATGTTCGCAGAAGGAGTCTTTGGTAAGGTCAGCCTTACCGGTCAACGCGGTCATGTCATCCAGGCCCTTGTTCTGCTGCTGGGATTTATCGATATCTGCTATCAAAGCATCCTTCACGGGTCACTCGATCGAAGAGTACATTTCGCGTGCCATTTGATAGGCTCGGTACCTTTCCTGTTATCGTGGCTCGATCACGATGAAGCACGAGGCGTGCACGGGAAGAGCGTCCACACTGTCCAGTCTGGATATCCGTTTCCGTATTCCATGGCTCGGCCCGATTGCGCTTGGGGATAGACTGAACTCTTACCAGACTCATGTCTCACATGATACACCCACCCTCATCATACTCGCTGCAAGTGGGGTCCGTTCCATGGCGGTGGATTCTCGGCCTGGGCATATCATCCTAGTCTCCCATGTGGCTGGTCCACTGGCTCTGGATGGATGGATGCGAGGTTCTATTGGCTGACGAAATGGTGGAGACGATAACTTGGCTTTCGATAGAGTAACACGCTCAGAGCTGATATGGACAAAGAATGGCCATGCACTTCGACTGGAGGTTTCCCAGCTGCGAACTCAGTGTCCGTGTCGTAACCGAGAAGGCCTGCGAGACTAGGCAACGGCAGGAGTGCATTTGGGTATAGCATCAGCCAATAAAATAGACAAACAAGCATCGGAACAGTAAGAAACTGTAGACATTGTCGGGATAATCATGACCGGGGAAGCACGCCACAGGACGGATGTAGGTGGTGTTGGTCATCCGAGACCTGTAAATCGATAAAAAGCAAGGGTATTCCGCGTGTAATCTAACCTTCATGCGCTCCGGTAGTGCTTGCGCCGTAGATTCTGCGGTACATGGTCATCGGAGGAACGGGTGTGTGTCCCGGAAGGCCTCGAATACGACCAACCACTACCGGGCTGGTGGTTGCAGAACCCAGTACTCCGGTAGCATATGCTATACGCCAGGTTTTGGATCAGGAAGACACCATGGGAAACCTGAGTCCCATTTTGCCAAGCCTTCGAGTGATCATCGTTCCTGCATCCAGGCAACACGCCTGATCCCACACGATGATGACACGAACGATGAAGGATCACGGTACCTACGATTGGACTTGACGCTATCGATAAGCAGCAAGCTACCAGGTGGGCGCGGCGCCTTTTTCTTGAATCATTCAAGAGGCTGACTGTAGGTCAATTTGGTGGTGTGAGACTCGTAGAATTGACGTTCAAAGAAGACCTAGATACGATGCCGCAGGCCGCTACATTCGCGTCGGTACAGCCCGCTAGAGGTGGGCTTCGGTCGCAGGATCTGCCGAGCTAACCACATGCGCCCTCCATGGGTGAGCCGTGCATGCGTCTGACAAGCGCTGTGGCGCCATGGTCGCTGTTTTCTCGCAAAGGGCGTGCCGTCACGCGCGAGTGATGGGTCGGTCCGTCGATGTGTAGAGACCATGTTTCCGCAGCGGGCCGACACTGTTCTGAGATTAGGAAAGAAATCAGCTGTATGAGATGCGCATCCAATCCACCATCTCACAGCTCTTTATAGGTGTTACAATTTTTCGAGAATTACCAAACGACCCATTCGCTCCAAGAGCAAGCTTCGCAGTGTAGGTGTTCGAAGTAGCCGATAAGCCACTGCTGAAAGCGCGCGAAATCCTGAATCGCTGCTCCAGACCCGTCCCCTGCGTCGTCCAATGGATGCAGGGCCCACTCACTCATACAGTATCTTTCTGGATGCAACGCAGCATCATGTACCTTGTTCTCCCTAACGCTGGCCTTCTTCACACGTGCGAATCGAGCGCCAGGTCCAGGCACAATGCATGATAGCCATGAGGTGCGTATGCTTGAAGACGCATGCGCGCTGTGGTACCTTGCCTCGAGGGTTTTGACGGAACATCTGCCACCTATCGGTGAGTTATGCGAGTAAGCAACTGAAGGATGACAGTGGGGTGTTCTCGCCACAAATGCAGGGTGGCAAGAAGGCTGTGAACTCCGACGAAAACGAACACCATGACTACAACACTCGGTCGTTGTCATATGATCAACGGTCGTGTGACCTCGGCTGCAAGGTTGAAGATCATACTAGACATGCCTTGGTTCTGATAAGACCAGGGTGGCGGAGGCAGTATGATCTTCACGTGGGAACAGTGGGCAGTAGCGTTGTCATAGTAGGCTTGCTATAATGCACAAGTTTGCTTTGGCTCACTGAGGCGGTAGTGAGCGAAGGTGTAAGAACCAATACTATGCAAGGGATGACTTTAGCCGTTTGAGCCGCTCAAACGGCAGGAGTAGGCGACTACACGTCGGAGCGCGGCGGATTGGCTATCTTGCCTGGAGCAGTGCATATGCAGGAACCCCGAGGAGACTGCAGCAGCACGCCTTTTGACGGATGCGGAATTTTCGAACAGAGTTCCAATGTACCGTCTCTGCATCTCATAGCCGTATTATCAATAGAGATGTTGGTCAGACGTGGGATAGGCGGACTTTAGTATGGAAACCTTCTTCGTAGGCTTCGGGAGTCATCCAACGCTTGGAGTGCAAAGATCTTTGAGAGCCGCATAGCACAAAGAGAAAGATTTGGTTGGAAATGTCGATTCTTGTTAATGGGAGCGCCATGCATTTCGTAGTCTACATAACAGTTGCCAATTTACCTTAGATGCGCGTTGTCAAACGGGCTCAGCCAAGAACCGCCAGTACCGCTACGATGTCAAAGAAGCTTCCCAGATTGGCGGACGACTTATTGCAAAATTGAAGTCATGGATGGACGTTGCCGAAGTGGCAACGTTCAGGTCGGGGATAGTATGTTCGTAGAAAGTCCAGTCAGGATGATATGGACTTGATGTATCTCTGAACTGGTACTGGAATGGGGAAGCGATTCCGGTAGCGTGTGATACTGGCTCGTTTGGGGTTTGTTGGGACGCGCCTAAGAAATCAGACAAACACCAGGGTGTCTGCGCGATTGGAATGTCGGCTGTGACGTGTGGCGTAGCCCAAGTTTGTGGTAGAACATCGTTGACATTGAAGTCGAGCCCACATTCGATGGGCATCAATACTTCATCGGACCATAATCGTGGATACAAGCAGAGATCTGTCTCGTGCACGACGGATACGGGCTGATAAGGATGTATCGGGCTTGGTGTCTGCGGTGACATGGTGCCCAGGTTAAAATAGCTGTTCGCACCCACAGACTGAGTGAAGAAATCTGGATCCTGTTCGGAAGTATTTATATAAGCGTAACTGCCGTTGAGGGTTTGCGAATCTCTTGGTGAAAGCGGAGTGAGCATTGGATAGCCAGAGAGCCCTGGGTTTTGACAGCTGGCTTTCGCGGTGGCTTCGGTATCAATGTATGTTGCTGCGTATGAGCCTTGAGATTCTTGAGAATGCAAGCTCGTCGAGGGAATATATGAATTGAGGCGTGATATGACACTGGCCGAGAAATGCCTGTTTGGTGGTCTAGATGGTTTCTTTACGCTTGATTGGTGGTTGCTATCCGAAGTACGGCGAGTGGATCTTGGTTCGCATACAATACCCTTGGTGATGCACCGAGAGCATGAAGGTAGCTATGTAGTATTAGCGCAGGAACTTAGACTATATAAGATGTGCCTAGGTACATACAGCTTTGTTACACTTGGTTTTCGCCTTAGCGCATGTCACGCACGCTATCGCTCTTTTCGATGGCATTCTAGCATATGGGTTGTGTTGAACTGCTTGCGTAGTAAAGTGATCCGACAGGTCTCGTGGAGTATGGATGGTCGTCTCATCCATTGCGATCGGATGTTTGGCTTAACAAGTGATGTGAATCAATGCGTGTTGTGTCAAGCTGGCTGTAGAACCACCGTTTCTTGAGAGTCAACCGCAGTCAGGCAATGACCGTTGCATCAGATAATGTCGAGCTTCTCTGGACAAAAGCATGTGCTTGCACGGAGTGTTAGGGATTGAGCTGTGATATACTCGTCTATTCTGAGCAGACTTGAGCTTGACCAGAACTGACAGTTCCGTCCAACGGCTGATCATATACGGCATCAAGCTTGCATGATGCTAAGTTTAGGGCCGAGATACATGTCTTCCGTGTAGGGTCCTACATAGCAAGGTATTGTCCTAGCACCGATGAGGCGCCTTCGCAGGGCTGGAAGCCAAGTCAAGGCATCGTGTATGAGCTGACGAAATGCCGCTGCTGAGGATAGTTAGCATGGTACGCCACCACGCCCGTATGCTGAATGCACGTTCATGGTAGAAGGCGCCTGAGCGCGTGGATGCTGACAAGGGGTGTCCTGCGCGCTGACAGGACCCGCGCTGGTGGAATTCGGTATGTCCATGATGACAGGTCGCACACGAATCGTGGTGTGGCTGAAGCCTCACCAGTGCCATTGCTTGGCTGATTGCGTACCTCAGTTCGAGCGTCATGTAAGTGCGACTTGACGTCTTGAGGCTCCAAGTAGATTTGGTTTGCCGAGACGAGTTCTAGGTGTCAACAGAAGAAGTTTCTGTATACCATTGGATAATTTCGGTAGGGTATCAAGGATTTCGTCAATGACATGCTCATCCAGATGCCACGCGGTCTTGATGTGGTCTGCACCCAGAGGGTGGTTCCAGACCGGGGCCGGGTCACCGGTGATGAGGCGCTGTAGTGCCTGGCACAAGGCTATTGTTGTAGATTCATGCTGATGATGTGGACGGACTCTGGGGAGTGGCGTCTGGTGGTGAAGTTAGACAGTGGGACCCCTGTTCCGCAGCTGCCCAGGTGGAAGAGCGGGGCCATGGCGGGCTGACGATGCTTAGTGTCGAAAGCTTCCGCAAGCTACGCTCTTGGGTGGAAGTGCGATATCGGCGACGATGTATGTGTTATACGGGACGTGGGTGCTTCATCCCACAGATGATGGCGGTGGCCGAGAGGTTGGTGGGCATTGCGCCAGACGTCATTTCCGAGCGGCGCACGGTCCGCCGCCATCTATGGCCTTAATCTTGAAAGCCTCCCTCGCCAGGCAGGCAAGAACCATCGGGCAACAACTTATCCATACATTCTCTCAATTGTTAGACTCACGATCGTATCAGATTGATTTCTACATCGTTATGAGAGCTCGTAAAGGCTCATGAAGTCAATTCGCGTGGTGCCTGCTGGAGGTCACGAGCTCAAGCGCACGTCCGACTGCCCAGGTGACTTGTACTTAGGTATAGACCCTTCCTTGAAACAAAGCATTCCCAGAATCGCACATCGACCCCTTCGCATCCGCGGCTTTGGTGGCCAGTGCCTCTCCCTCGCCCCATCTTTAGCAAGGCATCGTCAGCGTTGCTATGCGTAAAGGGGCCATTGTGCGTAAGCAGAGCTTGTGTTTGAGATCTGCTTCGCTAGGGCCATCGACCTCAAATGGGGTCTTAATGAAACGACCTCAGGATGAAGCTTGGAATGCGTGCGTCGTGCTAAGGTCTTCTGTTTGGAAGCCTCAGCCAACCATCCAATCTTCGTGGGCCGTAGTTGCTATCACGTATCAATTGATAACCCCGAAAGGGAGCATCGAGGAGCCGAGAAGGGAACCTCATACATCATCAGGAAAGAACTGTACATGCGAAGTGTTATAAATAAAGGTCGAAACCGTGGTAGGCATGCATTTCTGCGTATCAGTGATCCGTGGGGAAAGAGACGCGGGAGCCATGAGCTAGTCCTTCTATGGCTTAGTGCGTTCGCCATATCTGCATCGCACTTGCCGCTTCATCGCGCACGTCATCCGGGATTCTCGATCTGAACCATTTTCGACAGTCGCATTGACTGCATCATTATCTATATCACCACACTCATTTTTGGATACCCTAGAGAAAGTTAGAAATATGGCGCAACGTGAAGACAGCGAACTGTACCCTGCGAAGTTTCTTGCGGAAAGCGCCCATCCGGAGAAGACACCAAATCCTCCCAATCTTCTCATTTTGAATCAACCGATAGCCCACTTCACTGCCTTTTCACGCCTTTGGAAGCACACGGGGTACCGGATATGTGCCGATGGAGGGGCGAATAGACTTTACGACATGCTGAAAGGTGACTTGATAGCGCAACGCGAACAATACGTGAGTAAGTATGTGATATATAGCGTCAACACAGGTCGCTGACAGGCGTAGCTACCCGATATGATCCATGGAGACTTGGACTCGTTACGCGATGATGTGCGTGACTACTACGAAGCACGAGGTGTTCCTGTGCTACGCGATGGTGACCAATACAGCACAGACTTTGGGAAATGCATGAAGAAAATCTCGTCGCGTCTTACTTCCTCAATGGTTCGGGATGTGATTGTTCTTGGTACCCTCGGTGGGAGGGTTGATCAGGGCCTTGGGCTCCTGAACGAGATATACAGGGAAGAAAATCGACATGCCGACCTTCGCCTATGGCTGTTCTCCGAGTGCAGCCTGAGCTTCATACTTCGGAGTAAAGAGACTCTGCTGAGAGGGCTACAGGAAGATGGTATCTTTACCGAGAACGTAGGGTTTCTTCCTATATACGGACCGGCGATCATCTCTACCGAAGGTCTGGAATGGGACGTCAAGGAGTGGCCTACGCAGATGAACGGCGGTCAGCTCAGTACGAGCAACCACGTCAAAGCCAACGATGTGAGGGTTGGAACGGACGTGCCGATATTGTTCACGATAGAAAGAGCGCCTTTGTGAGAGGTCAGGGAAGTGTCGTGCTAGATATGGACTTGACGTACTCGCGACTTATGGGAATTGACACGTAAAGGTATCCTCGTGCTACATGTTCCAGCACGCTGTTGTTGTGTAACGTCGATTGGTCTCGCCGATGCTGTCTGCATGGGAGACAGTGGATCAGGGCCATCATGAGGTAAGCGCGTGCGTCGTTGAGCCAATCGTGCTATCCACGGTTCGAGCAATCGGAAGAAGGTGCGGCCTGCGAGGCGACAACATCGCATACATCATGAAGACGGGAGACGACTCCGGCCACGGTGGTGAGCGTACCTGTCGAGTCGTGTTGTGCCAGTAACCGTTCGGCTGTGGTGAAAGCATGAGGAGAGTCCGAAGCGCGACGCAGCACAGGCGCAGGTGCAGGCAACCGCCCCTGCCCATCTTCGGAACCGCTCCTGTTGTTTGGTGAACCCTAATTGGGAAGCTGTGATTGGCCGCGTCGTGGGCAACTCGCCTTCACCATCAATGCTACTATCAGACCAGTTCTCCCGCTCAAACAATCACCGCGCTTGCCAGGCCAACATCGCTACTCACTGTCGCTACTACGCGCCTTTTGGAAGTTTATTCACTCGCATACGCAGCTCTTGTCTTCTGCGAGCCTCCCCGCTTTCTGTGTTGCTCACATACAGGTGCCATATCCACCCCGACCCTCCCACGTCCCACCGCGTCAAAGCTCTCCGACCAGCACCTTGCCTCGCGACGTCAGGCACAACACGTTCGCAGACCCTCGTCTCCAGCTCCTTCCCACGGTCACTTTTCAAACTCAAGATATATCTGAGCATTCTGTCGACAAAGCTACTACACGCAGCATCACAATTGGCGTGAGCTGCACGACATAGCGCGCGCTGTGGGGCAAAACGCCGGCGCGAACGCCAATCGGTCGCTAATCGCCATGGCGTCCATACGAAGAGTCGCCTCGTCCACGTCGTCCGAGTACTCGGAATCACCTCAAAAGCGAGATGAGCAGCTCAGGCGATCGTCGTCGTCGAGCTCAACTGTCGAGAGGGAAGCTGCGTCTCCCCGCGACACCAGCACAGAAGGAGCATCCGAGCCAGCAGGGGCAGCCGAAGAGCCGTTGATTGGCCAGCCGAGCGGCAGTCAGAGCCCAGCTTCTGACCATGGCTTCGACTTCGGCATCCCGCCAACGGCAGAGCGCGAATCCTCGCCGTTGCCCTTTGCGCCCATCGTCCCTTCGCCGCTCGCAAACTCAAGATCAGCGAGCGATGGAAGTTCAGACGGGCACGAGCCGCAGTCAAGCGATGATACCCAGTCGACGAAGCATCGGCCGCGCACCACGACAGGCCGTCTCCACTTGCGCATTCCGCCCCGGCCTCACTTGAGAACACCAAAAGCGAGGAGTACAACAGACTTGACAGGTCATGGAGCCCGCTCTCCGGGCACCCCGCTCACATTACAAGACTTGGGAACCGACTATACTCGCTACTTCAACCCTTTCTCAGATTCCGCGAGTAGCCATAGCCGCAGTCGGAGGACCTCCTTATCAGAACGGCAGTCTTATGCCAGACTGAACGCCCGCTCGCGCACAACCACTCCGCCGCCTGGCATACCACCAATCAACCCGTTCCTTACCCCCAATGCGTCTGTGACGGGCCTCAACGATAGCGTCATTGAGCTGTACGATGACAAGAAGAATGTGTCTTTCATCGACGACAGATTAACGGCACCGTACGAGGAAAAAGGAATACTGTCCTGGCCACTGGTTTGCGACTTAGAGGAAGCGGACGATGAAATGCACATGCCTCGCGACGACGATGACATCAAGTTCAAACCGAGGATACGCGATCACTTTACAAGAGACAGCATCGTTTCCACTGTTGGCCTAGCCTTCATGATATCAGGACTGTTATTCATTTTCATCGGCCTTCCAGTACTTTCTGCGGTAGGCGTCATCGACTACAACTCAGCCTACGGTATGCCATTGAGCATGTTTCCCAATCCCTGGAGGCCTCAGATCTGGGCTATAGTCAACAACAAACAGTATCCACTCCTGGAGAACATACGGACAGGCTTGATCGATCCCGACACACCTGACGCTGTCAAGACAAGGGCCGGAGAGTTTGGCGATGAGTATGTGCTCGTCTTCAGCGATGAGTTTAATGACAATGGCCGCACGTTCTATGAAGGAGACGACCCTTACTTCTTTGCACCCAACGTCTGGTATGGCGCGACTCAGGACGTTGAATGGTATGATCCAGATGCTGTCACTACCAAAGATGGCACGCTTCAGCTACGCCTGGAAGAATTCTTCAACCATGGTCTCAAGTTCCGATCCGGTATGCTGAACAGTTGGAACCAGCTGTGCTTCAAGGGCGGTATCTTCGAAGTTTCAGTGTCGCTACCAGGACCAGCCGGTGTACAGGGACTCTGGCCTGGCGCCTGGACAATGGGCAACCTCGGCCGCCCAGGCTATCTCAGTACAACCGACGGGCTGTGGCCCTACACCTACCAAGCTTGCGATGCTGGTATCACGCCTAATCAGTCTAGTCCTGACGGCTTATCTCACCTACCTGGACAACGACTCAACTCATGCACCTGCCCGGGTGAAGACCACCCATCGCCAGGTAGAGGAAGGGGAGCACCAGAAATTGACGTCATCGAGGTGGGTGCCACATCAGGATACCCAGGTCCAGCAGGTCTGCCAATAGCAACACAGAGCTTCCAGGTTGCCCCCTTCGACATCTGGTACCATCCGAATTACAACTTCACGGCGTTCCCAGACCTTCGTTACAGTGGGCTCAACACCTACGCCGGCGGTGCCTTCCAAGAGGCCATCTCTGCCAGCACAATACTCAACAGGGACTGGTTCGACAACAAGCAGTATCAGCGGTACTCTTTCGAATATGCTCCCGGAGAAGGCAAGGACGCATACATCTCCTGGAAGGTTGGTGACCAGACCATGTTCATCATGGACGGCCGTTCTGTAGGACCCAACGGCAACATCCAAGCTCGACAAATCGCAGAAGAACCCCTGTCACTCATTCTCAACCTTGGCATCAGTAACTCCTGGACCTGGATCGACTGGAAGAACCTGGTCTTTCCTGCCACCATGCGATTCGACTACGTGCGGTGGTATCAGAAGAAAGGCGAGGAGATGGTTACGTGCGATCCCCCGGGCTTCGAGACTACAGAATACATCAAGAAGCATCCGAAGGCTTACCAGAACCCTAACTATACAGTACATGTCCCTGCCTTGCTTATCGTACAAGCACCCAACTAACGCAAAGCAGTTATGGGATCAAACCGGTTATGACTGGCCGAAGCACAAGCTCAACAGCGATTGTTGACCCGAGACGCCCTCTCACGACAGCGAGTACGATCACGATCACGATTACGATTGACGAGTCACCACGAGCGCGAACGTCCCTAAAAGATCGCTTCGAGCCTCTTCCTCTACGTACATTGCAGCTATACGACCGACTACGATCGTTTACGGAACATGGCACTCGAGCTGTACACTACATTTCAGGAAACAAACATGTCGCTATTGTACAGATACACACATGAAGGGAAGCGTTTCGGTGAAGGCAACACAAACACACATAGGAAGGAAAGCATTTCGGGCAAGGGCATGAGAAGCGGAGGATGGGTCTTGGCCATGTTTAAGCTACATGTGTCGTCTCCTTGCATATGGGGAAGGTTATATCGATTTTCGAGCGGCATCATGGCATTTTTGCATTTGTTGGTGTATATGTATAAGTAGCATAGCGTAGCCATAACTTTGGACAAGAACTTGCATGGTTTCTTGGCTGTGTGAATTTGTCGTGTAGTGCGTTGGGCATGTGCCACTGACCAGCTAGAGGATATATGAAATGATACCTGTACACAAAAACTTGCTTAACTACCGCTACATGCAAGAGTGTTCTGCGAGAGGCTTCAATCTTGGTGTTGGAGAGGTGGTGCGTTCTGTTGTGTGATGCATTCGCTAAGTATATGTACAACTACAAAACACTCCACCTCACCACTAACCTACTCCTCCCCTTCCATACAACTAGCATCCTTACAATCCTTCACATCACAAACCTTATGAAAGTCCTTATGCGCCTTCGCGCCCTTCCCAATAAGTTTCTTAAACGACTTAAATTCGCAGCTCGCACCGGGCCCATCCTGGCAATCCGGAATGGGTCTCGGCGCCGAATTCGCAATGAACCTAACATACGTGCCCGGCTCATCCCCATGCACACCACCCCTCTCACAAATCATCTTCTCCATACCAACATGACCCAGGAAAGGGATGAGGTCGCTCATCTTCCACGCGCGTGTCCAGTTAATGTGGTCAGTAGGGAACTGTTCCGCGGCGTCTGAGGAACTGTTGAACAGACCAAGTGCGGTAGCGATAAAAGGCGGGACTTCTCTGTGTGTGAAACCAAGGAAGAAACGCTGTTTATCCGGCCAGCCGTCACCAGGCGTATCGTGCTTCTCGATATGCGCAAAGAGTTCAGACTGTGCTTGCAACCACGGGAAACCGAGATAAGGACTCAGCGGGTTCAGCGGACCGACCATGTACGCGTACTTGAGATCCCACGCGTATTCATACGCCATCCACTCCGAGTCTGTGAAGAGCGCGCAGATGGGGCTGCGCTCGCCCTTGATGGCGGATTCGTAGCCGCACAGCATCTGGAAGCCAACAACATCGCTAGGAGTCAGTTTGAAGGGTGTGTAAGGGGAGAGGCGGTGGGCGACGGATGCGCCGTAGAGGTCGATGACTTTCTTTTGTTGCTTGGAGCCGGGTTTCTTGGAGAAGTTCTTGCAGGATTTGTGGGGGATGAGGGATTCCATACTGCCGTTTGTGTTTTCGGTTATGCGGACGATGTCGATGTCGGAGGCTTGGGGGAAGGCTTTGACGAAGTTGGCGGCTGTGTCGTAGGTTCTGCTCTTTTTGTCCGCGAGGATGCGCGTTGTGTCGGGCACGAGGTGGTGGTAGCGTTGCAGGAGGTGCTTGCCTACTG